TTGGGGCCAAAGGGGGGCCCTGTCTCAAAAAAAAAAAAAAAAAAAGATAATCAGAAGATAAAATCCAAATTTCTCGTTAGAATTTGGGTCTCTGGATGTATTTCTTAACTTCATCTAGACTTCTAGACTCAGTTCCTCCCTGGGAAACATTCTAAACTGCCTGGCTTTCTTCAGACCCTGAGTTTTCTGAACTCCTTTGCATGAAACATCCCATTTATTTCTATTGTTTGTTGGTTGGTTTGAAACACAGTTTCATGTAGCTCAGGCTGGCTTTGAATCTCTGATTCTCTTGCCTCAACCTCCCAGTGTTGGGAATACAGGAGTGCACCGTCACACCTGGCTTAGAACGTTCCAACTTGACTTATCAAAAGCTGACTGTCCATATGGCTTCCTACAATTTCCTTTAGGTCATATAACTTCAAATCCACCAAATCACAACTTTTTGCTTGCTTGATTCATCCTTATTAGTAGTAGTAATAATATTAAACTGGGTTACACAAGCTCATTTTTATGCAACTGTATAATGTATTTTGAGTATGCTCCCCGTCCCACATGTCCCTTTACTCTCCCCTTTCTCTCGCTCTTCCTTCCTGTTAGTTCCATTTACTCCGGGGGACAGTTTTACTTCTGTTTTCAAGCTGTCTGTGTTAGATTATTTTATGTATTTCTATCAAATCAGCTTTGGATCATAATAGCCTATCCTGTTAGATCTAGACTCCTCAGGGGCAGAAGCTTTGTCTTTACTCTTCCACTGCCTGACTCCCACAGAGGCCTGGCCTTGTGTCCTGACTCCCACAGAGGCCTGGCCTTGTGTCCTGCACACACTATTCACTCAGTTATTAATGCTAGATGGAATCCAATTAAGTCGGTTGATACCATAACTCAAACGTTGCATTAGTACCCATTTAGTATGAAATTTTGTTAATGTCTAATCTATGCTATTGTCCCCCTCCCTTAGCCCATCTTCTCATCTCTACCCAACTTCCAATCACACTGAGGTTCAGAACCTCATTGATTATTTTAGGTTCTTTAGTTAGGCAAATTCATCTTAATAACCACAGGAAACATTTTGATTCATTGACACTTTGCCCGGACTGGATAGTCTTTCTCTTAAACCTTCTATGAAAGGATCATGTTCCTGTTTCTATTTCCATCTCTCACCTCCTTCTGGGTCAACTGCAGACCCTCTTCCCCCAACATTCTTAGAATCAGAACCTACCTGGTATGACAGGGATGCTTCTCTGTCTTCCTCATTCTGCTCACAGAGCATCCACTTTGTGACCAGCTCTTAGTGCCCCATGGTTAGTGGGAACAGAATGGATGTCCACTCGCCAATCTCCAGTGATGCTTGAGTTTGTCATTTAGCTCGAAGTTAGGCATCTGATTTCTTCTCCAGTTCTGTCATTTCAAGTTGGAGAACTAGACCCAATAGGTTTTGCATCATCCAACACTGGAGAGATTCATAATGGCCACAGTTGATTTTGAGCACAGCCATTTAGCCCTCTGGCACTCATGATTCTCAGCTTTATATACTGGGAACAATGGGAAGACCTTAAAGGTGAATCACTCAGGAATTTAAACCCCTATCCAGTTAGCCTACAGTGAGTAGAAACAACCATGGTCTTGATGCATGCTTTAGAGTTTAATGCATACTGTATTATTCCTATAGTCTGGCTGCCATGTGTTTGATGCTAATGAGAGCACCAGCAACAGAGCTGGTGACCAGATCAGCAACGGTCCTGGCTCTCATGGAACTTATGCTGAGTTTTAGGAGAAATGTGAGCGCATTCTACCTGCCAGTGCCAAGTACAATTATAATGCCAGATGTACCACCACATTTAACCTCAAGAGCAACTGTAGAAGGTAGGTTCTCTACCTTTCCTCAGTTTACCACCAAGAAATTATAGTGATGATGCAATCACCGGAATCACCCTGCAATAAGTGTCACAATGGAATTCAACCTCAGCATTGTGGTCCCAGCTTGGACCACAACACTGGGATGCCTCCTTGATGACAAGAACACAAGACAGTCTGAATAACAAGGTTCTCTACTTTTTAACTTTGCAGATGGAGCCTACCATACATATCCGTCAAGAACAACTCACAGGTACCAGTGTTTTAAAACCTTTACAATTTAGACAGGCATTTCACAAACTTTGAAAAAGCAAATGGTGTGACTGTCACAGACTTCCTTTTCTAATACTTTATAAAACTTTGAAAAGTTGAAATGAACAGTATCCAAACTTATTCTTTCTTGAATAGGAATAGAATCTGAGAAACATCTCTTGAAGCAGACACCAACATCTCTGAAAGATTCATCTTCAAATTCTTACATATTTCAAGATATCCCATGGCAAACAAATGTGTCAGAAGTTAAAAGAACAGACAGACCAACTGAAGACTAAGGTAATACTTAAAAACATTTAAAAATATTTATCTATTTTGTGTGTGCACACCCAACAAGCAGATGTCAGAGAACAATATGTGGGAGTTGGTTCTCTCCTTCCACCATTCTGGGAATCGAACTCAGCTTGGCTGAATGTGCTTTTGCCCACTAAGCCATCTTACTCACCCCTAAGGTAATATTTTTAATGCGTGTTAATACATTAGACATAGCCAACTTCAAACAGGAGAGGGTGTGCTGTGAATGAAATATTGCATGTTTTTTTTCACTGCAGGTACAAGAATTTTCCAAAAGAATAAAACAGGATTCTTTTTGTTATTTGCAGGACGGGAGGCTGGTAATGAATTTTATCCAGTTTTTAAATCTTTATTTTGGGAGAGTCACATGCATGCTTTCATGCATCTGATTTTCTCTGCAGTGGGCAGGAGTAGAGGGAGCACAAGGAAATATTTTGCTGAAAATTAAACTGTCTTAGTTTCTGGAGTGAAGTGGGTTACAATTCTGTTTCTACATTATTTATGCCTCTTTTCTTCTCAGGGGAGTTATTATGTACCTCACCAGTCACCTTATAATAAATCTGAGATCATAGAATGTTCCAGAGAAGAACATGAATGTCATTGTAAAGGGTGATCCTGCCCACAGTTGATACCCTGATAGTAAATTTAGGCAGTAAAAATGACTAGTATTTAGGAATTCAGTATGAGACTATGAAAACTTAAAAATGAAACTCAAAACAGACCCTTGTGGAGCTTTTGCTTTTATATCCTTGTTTTTGCATTACATCAAATGAAATCACTAATTCATATTGCTATCATGTCAGCTTTGCTATCTGTGCCAGGGTCATGGGAAGTGGAGGTGAAGCAGTGGGGCAAAAGGTTGAAACTGGGCAAATCACACATGGGCTAAAATGAAAGACGTTAAGTTTAGACCATGGGGTCAACAGAGGCTGGTGGCCAGAAGTCCTGATGTAGGCATGCACAAAGTTCAGGGTAGACTGTGCTGCAGAAACTCCACACTGTGAGCAAACCCCAGGGAGGACCCAGATGCTGTGTTCCAGAACACCACTCCTAATTATTCATTTACTCATCATATTTATTAATGCATTAATTAAAAACTTTTATGGGGCTGGAGAAATGGCTCAGTGGTTAAGAACAGTGGCCGCTCTTGCAGAGGACTGGGTTTGATTCCCAGCACCCATATGGCATCTGACAACCACCAACTAACTCCAGTTCCAGGGGATCTAATGCCCTCTTCTGACCTCTGCAGGCATTGCATGACATGGGTGCACTTATGTACATGCAGACAATACACTCATACACATAAAATAAAAATAATAAAATATATTTGTTAATTTTATCAGACATTTTCTATGTCACAGGTACTAGGGATTTCGAGAAACACCTTTTCAAGTGTCTTTTAGTCTCCCAGGAACAACAGATTAGTGAACAGTTCGTTCGAATGTAACTTGGATGTACCAGCTGACACACGTGGTAGCTTGCAGTTGAGGGGGGACTTTGGAAGGCCCTGGAAGTGACTACTCGCTTGGGTATTACAAGAGGAATGGGTGCAAAGCTTGTCAGAATAGGAGACAAGAGTCTTTCAGACAAAAAGGAGACAGCAAGTGCAACAGCACAGAGGCACAAGCACGCAGCCAGTGTGAGGACCTGTGTGGCCCTGAAACTCCTCAGGTGGAGCTCAGAGTATATGTGGTGAAGTGGAAGACGGGAGACTAGAGAAGTGGACAAGGACTCCATCATGGAAGGACTTCAGGCTATGAAAGGAACTTGGATTTTATCTGGAGTTTGGATGGTGGAGCAACACAAAAGGAATTAAAGCCAAGTGATGGGCAGGCACCATGGGGGCGAGACTGTAGGTGGGGACTGGTTAGTAAGCCAACACCAGGCAAGTTATAAGAGTCAGAATCAAGGCTGCCAATGAGGATGGAGATGGGGTTGAAGGTGGTAGTGATGGATCGAGAGGAACAAATAAAGGAAAGGAGGAGGCGTGGATGATTCCAGGTTTCTGTCTTGGATAACGGAGGTCAGAAATGGAAGTGAAGGACCCAGTTCAGAATGGGTATGGAAAGCAGGAAGAGGCCTCTGAGGACCCTTTAAAACCTCCAAGTGAGAAAATCTAGCTGCAGACAGAGCAATGGCTCTAGCCTTGAGAGGTATTTGGGCTAGAACTGAAGATTTGGCAGAGCTATGGATTGAACTTATAGGGTGGATGAGTTTGGGGCTCTCTCTTGAGGTGTTGGGAAGTAGCAACAAGCCTACAGCTTCCTGTCAGCCATGTGATCATGAGGGTTAACACCCAATGCTATGATGCACAATATTCAATAGGTCACATGAAAGATTCAACACATTATTATAAAATGGGCTTTGTGAATGATGTTGCCCAGACTGCTGATGGAAGCATTCTAGCATATTTATGAGAAGCTAGGCTAGGCTAAGCTAAGCTATGATGTATTAATGTATTTCTATGTATTATACTTTCGATTTACAACAGTTTTATTGGGCTGTAACCCTATTGTAATCAGATGAGCATTAACACAATGTTCATGGTACAGCTGTCTCATTTAATTTTCAGAGTTTGGGGTAAAGGATATTATATAAATTTTGCAAGTGAAAAAGCCCCTAAAAGTTTAGAGAATTAAAGTTGACTAAAATAATTCAATTAGTAAGTGATAGTGTCTGACCTTGAACCCCGTTGTGTCTGGTCCTGTAACCCCACTGAGTTAATTTTCTACCCTTGGCATTACCTCTCTACTTCATCCTTACTGTTCTCATTGATAGTGCCTACTCTAGGTTCTCCTGAGCAAACTGTAAGCTGACTGAAGTCTCAAACCTGTCATCGTGTGTTAGCAAAGTAGTTTAATTGATGGTTTCCTTTCTCAATGAAATAATAGCCTTTAGAGCAGGGACTCTGTCTGATAAAATGTTTGTATCCCACAATTCTGGTCTAGGGCCTCATATAGGTGGGGCCAGCAAATGGTTAGCAGCTGGGGCTGTAGATCAAAGACCTCTATGCTGACCTGCAGTCTGACATTAACCTGCACAGCACTATGTGGTGACCTGTGGAAGACCCATTCGCTGCTCTGGTTAGGTCTTACTGGGGCTCCTTCCCTACCTCACCCTCCAGCTGCCATGGCCTCTACCTTCAGTTCCATTCTAGATGTTGTGGCTTCAGACATTTTCCACTGCTTCAATTTCTTCCTCTGCAGAACCAGGATAATGGAGCCTACTGTGAAATATTTACAACACTCACATGTGGACAGAATAAGATAAGTAGGCAAGTGCCTTGTAAGAAGGAAAATCGTTGTGCAGGAAAATCAATGTACAGGATTATGACTGTCCACTCAGGAGGTTCAGAATGAATTCCAGAGAGGAACCAGAAGCAACCACGCTTCTCAGTCAGGCACTAAGAGCACATTGTGCATGCCAGGATGACCCTCGGGTTGTCTTATTCTAGACAGCAACTCAGACAAGAACCACCAACACCGCTGGGAAGGTGGGGGCCTCATTTTCCACTACTGTAGGGCACACCTACATCGTGTTTTGGGAAAACAGCTTCATGTACCCCCTCACACATGAATGATTGGAAAACAGCTTCATGTATCTGCCTATACATGAATGATCCCAGGGATCCCAGGGATCCCTGATTACTGCTACAGGTTTTGGAGCAACTGCAAGGAAACCTTGAAGCGCTGGAGCAGGAGTTTCTGGCCACCAGGAGAAGCAGCAAGTCCTGAGGCATAAATCCTCAGCAGATGATGACTTTGATCCGCAAAAGTCAGGCTTAAACCAGCTGTGCAGGATGGAAGGACCAGGGGCGACTTCCTCCAGGGGGGAATTCTGAAGCAGCACCTGCCATAGTACTTGGAGAGCCACTGGCAAAAAAACCCCAAAACCAAAAAAACCCCACCGGTGTCAATGCGCACAGTGTCACCTGATGTCAGTCTATGGAGCACCTGTTGTGTGTAAGGTGCAGTGAGGGTGCTGACCACATGGTATACCCAAAATGAACACCTATCTCTTGGGACTGAGGTGTTGAGCCACCATTTTTCATTCTGTTGGCTGCTATTTCAGTTGGTTCTGAGAACCAGAAGGTTACAAGAAAACTCTGGAAAAGTTGAGGGCCATGCTGGGGAGATAGCTCAGTTGATAAAGTACCTACATCACAGAGACCTGAGTTTGAGCCTCACTATGCACGTAAAACAAAATAAAGCAAAACAAACGAAAACCCCAAATGCCATGTGTGGTGGCACATGTTTGTAATCTTGGTGCTGGTGAGATGGACACAGAAGGATCTCTGAGGCCCACTGACCAGTTAGGCTAGCCTACTTGGTGAGCTCCAGGTCAGTGAGAGGCCCTGACTTTAAAATAAAAAAGTTTCTATGATAAAATACCATGGCATAAGCAACTTAAGGGCGAAAGAGTTAATTGCCTCAATATTCCAGATTGCAGTCCATCACTACAGGGAATTCAAGGCAGCAGGAACTTGAAGCAGATGGTAACTTGACATCCCCAGTCGAGATCATGTGTGCATTAATTAATGAATTAATGTGTGCATTCTCTACTCTTATACGATCCAGAGTCCTTTGCCCAGGGAATGGTGCCACCCACAGTGGACTGGCCTGTCTTCCCACCTCAATGAACATAATCAAGATATGCCCCACAGACATGTCCACAGGCCATCTTGATATAAACAATCCTTCACTGAGACTCTCCCCAAGTGAGTCTAGATGGTGGCAAGTTGGCAATGAAAATTAACCATCATAGCTCCTGAGCAATGGCACCTGAAAGGAAGAAAAAGGAAAGAAGGAAGGAAGGAAGGAAGGAAGGAAGGAAGGAAGGAAGGAAGGAAGGAAGGAAGGAAAAGAAAGAAAGAAGAAAAGCCCAGTCCTCCCTTCGGCTCTCCTGTTTCTCACTCCTGCCTCTATTACCCCTGATTGGTTTTTCTCATCTATCCATCTTTTTTCCTCAGTTCTTTCCCATACATTGACAGTTCAGAAGGGCTGTGGGCAGGGGAGGATGCTTGTAAAGATGGCTTAGATTGAGGTGAGGGACCCACGGATTCTGACAAAGGACAAATGTTAACGCTTAAGTGATTGCCTGAGTTAATTCACATTAGAAACCTGGATCACATCACTATGAACTCATTCTCTTCTTTCTCCAAATAATTTTAAGATCCATTCCAGAACTCCAGGCTAAGTTTGTTTGCTTTTAATTTCCTGTTATGAATAAAAAGAAGAACCCATTGAGTAGGCTCAGTTTGTCTAGTTCAGCTTTCTACTCAGCATTTGAACAGGAAATCTTGATGCCAAAATATTTTAATGATTGATGTTTCACAAATAGTATCCTGAAGTATTTTCCCTGAGGCACAGTTTTACTTTTTCAGAAAATGAATGGAACCACTGTCTACCAATACCAACAGCAGAGATGGGATTTTAATATTGACTTTTCCCAAAAAAACCTTGGGTTTTTTTTTTTGTTCCTGGGAAAAAATGGCTATGTGCTTCTGCTTTTCAAAGGAAAGTAATAAAGTTAGTATATTGTTTTCCAAGGAATCTTTGGTTTTGGCAGTCATTTTCAAGACAGGCTTCTGTCTACATTGAGACCAAAGTTATACAATGTTTATTTATATCCTGGTTACAACCACACTGTGTTTGGCATGAATATAAATCAAAAGGGTTTTAACTGCAATTATATCCCATATACGGGAGAGGCTCTCAACCTTGGGATGAGGGAGGGACCCAGTCTTTCTCTAAACTCACTTGAAGCCACCTCAGGACAAGCCAGGCTGATCAGCTCAACATGGGCTAACGTGGCAATGGGCAGAAGCCCATGTAGCCTTCTGGGTCTTGTAGAGCCCAGAATCTTCTCAGTGGTTAATCCCATAGCTAATATAGATGTGTCTCTGCAGAGGCAAAAGTTTGCAAGTTCATTGAGTGATCCCTTGCTTGGTCATCTGCTGTGCTCTCATTAAAACCTTCTTATTACCTTTAAAAGGTAATATGAAGCCAGGTGTGGTAGTGCTCACCTGTGATCTCAGCACTCAGGAGGAGGAGATAAGAGGATCAGGAGTTCAAGCTGAGGCCAGCTACATAGTGAGTTCAAGGGTAGGGGCACTCAAGACCCTATCTGAAAATAAAAATAAACATGCTACATTGGCACATGCCTATGATCCCAGCATTTAGGAAATGGAAACAGGAGTATCAATAGTTCAAGACCATCCTCAGCTATCTAGAGAATTCAAGGCCAGCCTGGGCTACATGAGCCCATGAGACCATATCAAATAAATGAATGAATAAATAAATAAATAAATAATATGGGAGTGTCTCTCAGTGGCAAAGCACTTGCCTAGCATGTACAAAGCTCTGAGTTCAACCCCTAGCAACACACACACACACACAGACACACACACACACACACACACATATACACACATAAAAGCTAATATGTGAAAATATTTTTTGGATCTAATGCATCTTGCTCACTAGAATAAATTGATAGTCATTTGATAATTTTACACATTAACAGCTGGATCCCAAGTCAAGAAATTGGTCCATCTCCATCAGTCCATGCTCCCTGATATTCCTGGCATATAAGCTTATCTTCCACTGTACAGGAAAAAATCATAAATTCCCTCAAAAAGCCTTTTCTAAATCATCATGTTTTTATTTCTTTTCTCCTCCACTTGCCCTCTCTCTGCTGTCTCCAGTCATGTCCTAGAGCCCCTCACTTCATACCACCTGGGGGGTCTGGCTCTTTCATTTCACTTGTTTTTGGCAGTGTGGGGTTGAACCCAGGGCCTTGTGCACGCTCCACAAGCACTATATCACTGACTGAATCTCTAGGCCTCACTTTTTCTTTTTCTTAAAGTTATCAGTCTTCCTTGTCTCTTCATTTTTTTTCTCTCCTGCCTGCTAGGTTCTAGCATATTTCCCATTATTTTACTATTTAGTATTGCTTTGTTTTTTCTTTGTCCTGCCACTTACTGAGTAAGACAAGACTTTTTCCCACTGGTGGAAAAAGACACTTTAAATGGATACAAAACATTTATGGGCAGTAGGACTGGCTCTATTCCATCCCATTGGTCTGTTTCTATTCTTACATTGACCACACAGTTTCAAATTATCACAGTGTGAAATGGCTCAGCTGGTAAAGGGCTTGCCACACAAGCCTGACCACCTGAATTGGACCTGGAACCCACATAAATGTAGGAGACAACAGTCTGCACACGTGCTCTGTGGCACATGGGTACCCCATATGCACATTATACACACATGATAACAATAATAATAAAATAATAATAATTCACCATAGTTTGGCACATGTCTCTCTTTTAAAATTCTTTTTTAGAATATTTTATTTTATGTGTATGAGTATATTGCCTGCATGTATGTGAGTGCACCTGTGTCGTGCAGTGCCACAGAGGTCAGAAGAAGGCTTGGGATTCCCCTGGAACTGGAGTTAAGGATGGTTTGTAGCCACCATGTGGGTGCTGGGAATCGACCCAGGTCCTCTGCAAGAGCAGTCAATGCTCTTCACCTCTAAGCCATCTCTCCAGCCCCTTAAAATTCTCTTTTGAGAG